CCATCTGCCTGGCCGCCAGCGGAAGCACCTTCTTCGACGGAACCCAGAGCTGGTTCACCGGATGGTGGGACGTCACCTCGGGAGGTCATTCTGAACTACTAATTGTTTTTTTTTTAGGTTTACGAAAAGAAATACCGTCACTGCAAATTGTATTTGATGTTTACAAAATCAAGTTTGCGTCTTTCCAGACTATTATGTTTTCTTCAATGCTTCAAAAATAAATTGAACTAATTGAATACCGACTTATTCAGTAAATCTGTTTCGATTTCGTAGATCCAAATTTTAAAATGTAACGTCTTTTAATTGTATCACACCCCACATTTGGAAATGCGTATGGAATCGTCTCATCTGAAAAATGCACACTCGGTGTAAATCTATTTGATGTTGCTGATAATTTTAATTTCATTCAGTCCAATAGTTTGGGCTTTGGAGAGCCTTTACGCATGAATAAACATGACAAAATAGTGATTGGAACTTTGTTAGGGACTTCCTCTGCCTCCTTTTCTTGCTCTGAATTACTCGGCATGTTTTCCAAAACAACTCAGTCCTGCCAGGTATGTTGTGGCACAATGTGGAACCACACAAAAGCTGCGCGACTCGAAATTCTGACTTGCCCATGTCCTAGGCTGTAAAATCCCATAGATAAAAACAATTGCTTCTCAATACTTTCGATGTCGGGGGAGGAGCTGTTTTTTTAGTAACATACTGTTGGTGGTGTTGTTGTGCGCAGTTTCTCCACCGCCTCCCGGGTCCTTGACGGAGGTGGAGGCTCCCGTTGTAGGAAACCGCCAGTGCGACTGCGACCGCACGCAGATCACGATCACAGACAACATGATTTGTGCTGGCCTGATGGCTGGAGGAGAGGACGCCTGTCAGGTGACTTCGTGTTTTTCATTCTGTTCATGACACACGAAAGGAAGGCGAGTAAAGTACAGCAGCGGTGCCCAACCTTTTTTGCCCCACGGACCGGTTTGATGTCAGACAATATTTTCAGCGACCGGCCTTTAAGGTGCAGCGGGTCTATACAACAAAATAATATATGACCTGCATGAAAAATGTGCTATTTTCTAAATATTGAACAAGAATCATCACACGAAGAACGTTGTTGTCTTTTGCCCAATGTGATCAAAAATAGAATAATTAAATGTTGAATGCAAACCTCGTCATTTTATGAGCTTATTCTATGATCTTCCAGGAAGTTCACACCTTCACGAGGTGGCGTCATGACATAGCGTGCTAGTTGTTTCGGGTGAATAGAAATTGAAAAACCACACCTAAAAACCTTTGGGGTATTCAAGTACTGTATCTGGCAGCGCAAACAATTTTTTGTCATGGTTTCAATCCAGGTCAGCGGGAGTCAATCATTTTACTGCCACTCGGAAGTGACCGTCTTCTATTTTTTACAAACATTACAAAATAGTGACTATTGACATCCAATTTCTACCCCCAATTTGTGCCTGTCACTGATGTCACAAGTTCAGGTGGATCCACTAACTAGGTGACCATGATGTTCCACAGGGTAATAGTGGCGGTCCCCTGTTAAGCAAACAAGGGTCCACGTGGGTCCTGAGTGGGTTGCTGAGTTTCGGATTTGACTGCACCAATCCGGAGATTCCAGGCGTCTACACACGGGTGTCGCGTTACCAGGCTTGGATCAGCAGCCACACGGGCAATAGCAACAGCTTGCCAGGCTTCGTCAGCTTCATGTCCGTGGGCACTGATCCAGACTTGCAGGTTAGCTGTAACGCTAACCTGCCCCTCCCCAGCGCCATCCCGCGCAACACCCACACTGATTTGCTCAGCGGCACGACTCCTGTGAATTGCCCCGTCCTCTCATGTGGCCCCATCGTGTGCCCCTCCTGCTCTTGCCCTTCCCCGATCACAATTTGGTCCAGCAGCACCAGCACTGGCCCGCAACCAAATGGTGAGCCTCTTTCTGCCAACTTGCCTTTCTTCTGGGCTTTGAGCTCAAGCATTTGCCCACGTTCCCCCTCACGTGTGTGTGTGTGTGTGTGTGTGTGTGTGTGTGTGCAGTTCTTCACCTGTGACAGCGTTTCTGGGTCGTCAGAGCCAGCTGGGTTTCAATCCGAACCAGGTCGTCCGCTTTGTGGTGGAAACCATCATCCATCCTGCCTACAACCCGATCACTTTTGACAACGATATGGCGCTGTTGAGGCTTTCCTCGCCCGTTGAGGCTGTCCCATCCCGTGCCCTTCAACGACTTCATCAGGCCCATCTGCCTGGCCGCCAGCGGAAGCACCTTCTTCACCGGAACCGTGAGCTGGGTCACCGGCTGGGGGAACATTGGCCAGGGAGGTCAGTCAGCACTACTAGTTGGCCTCTATTTTCTACTCACGACAAGTCACTTTGAAATTCATTGAAAAATGAACATTGTCTGTGACGTTTAGAAAAAGAAGTGACTATTTTGCAGACTTTAATTTTCTTCGATGCTTTCAAAATCCAAAATACAAGTACCGGTATAATTGTTTTTTTCTGAAGACTTGAATGGTCTTTATTTCAAAAGGTACGGTAGGTTTGTTGAAACTGTCGTCAAGGTTTATGGGAAACATTGACCGTGTTCGCCACAAGTGCATGACGTTAGCTGACGCGTGAATTGAATGTAAAACGTGAAAGTCCTGTTGAGAATGGTAAATTGTCTTTAATATTGACAAAACACAAACATAACATGTATTGATTAACACTAAATTGCCTTTGGTTGCAAAAAACATGTTATCCTTATGACAACGTTCTTTGTTGACAAAAACAATTGAGCTAGCTTATTTGAAGACTGGTGGAGGCTTTGTTGAAAACTAAATTGCGTATTTACACTTAAAAGTACCGGTACTTAAATTTTGTCTTAGCATCAAATGAAGAGATTTCAAATTCAAACGCTGTGAAGCACCATTTTGGCCTACTGGTCAATTCCGATATTGACGCCATTGAGAGTCACCGGCGAAAAGACTTTCAAGGCTGGCTGAAATTGTTGTCGGCCTACTCCCAAAACATTTGTTACGCGGACTTTCCCCTGGATGAAAAGTACACTTTTGACCATCAAAACAAAACAAAAAAAAAAAAGACTGCTGAAAAATCTACAACGCAACGGGGACACTGTACGCCCAACTTGCCTGTTCGTGACACACTTCTGGTGTTGCTGTTTGTGTGCAGTTCCTCTACCGCCACCGCAGAACCTTATGGAAGTTCAGGTTCCTGTGGTCGGGAACCGCCAATGCGAGTGCAAATATGGCGGAGGAGTCATCACCGACAACATGATTTGTGCCGGGCTGAGTGAGGGTGGAAAAGACGCCTGTCAGGTGACAAACAAATTTACATGCACATGTAGGATCAGGAATACATCAGTAAAAACCTAAAGGAACCTGTTGTACAGATTGTAAGGTTGGGTCTCAACTCAACTCAACTGTATTTATGGAGCACTTTCGAACAGCCATCGCTGCATACAAAGTGCTGTACATGGAGCAATTTAACATATAAAATAAACAGTAAAACAAATCTGTAATAAAGACGGTAGAAAGCACCGAACAGTAAAACCAAGAAAAAATCTAAGTCATGCTGAGTCAAATGCCAAAGAATCCAAGTGAGTTTTGAGGAGGGTTTTGAAGATGGGCAGCGAGGAGGCTTGCTGAATGTTCAGCGGGAGGTCATTCCAGAGAGAGGGACGAGCAACAGAAAAGGCTCGATCCCCTCTAAGCCTCAGTTTAGGGTCTCCATTTGTATTTTCGGTGAGAGATGGAGCAGCAGAAATAAAAAAGTTAAACATACAGTATGTCATTTCAGCAAGGCAAAGCACCCATCGCCATAAACGAAATGGCTTGAGCCAAAGATAAACCAGGAAAGAATTTCCGACATGCCTGTGAGAAGATTTCAATTGAGGACAGTGGCATTCAAGCACTTTTGTCATCCTCGTGTATAATACCTCAGCGAATGCTTCCAAAAATTATGAAACAGTCTAACGATCCAACCAGATGACAAACTTAATTGATTAATTAGTGTCTGTCACGTCACCAAAGCATAAATGATTCGTCTCATACGAAGGCCTTGCCGTTCCACAGGGTGATTCTGGCGGTCCCATGATGAGCAAGCAAGGATCTGTGTGGGTGCTGAGCGGGCTCGTGAGCTTTGGGAGAGGTTGCGCTTTGCCAGATTTTCCGGGCGTTTACACGCGGGTGTCCAGGTACGAGGCATGGATCAGGAGCCACACGAGCGACGGCAACTTGCCAGGCTTCGTCAGTTTCACCTCCCCAGGCATTGACCCAGACGTGTTTTTTAATTGTCCCACCACCACGTCGTCCCCTTCCACCACACAATGCATCACCCAGACAGGCCCGACACAAGTATCCCCAACCTCACCCACAGGATTCCCATCTCCTGGCACCCCCACCAGTATCTTCACCCCCAGGGCCCCCAGCACCGTCACCTTTCCCAACCCCACCCCCAGCACCTCCAGCTTCACCTCCACCGGCAGCCCAACAACCCATTCTGGGATCTCCTGAAAAGAGGTGATCACAACACATCACTACAGAGCTCTTCTTCACCGCAAGCACGACGCCACTTCGCAAAAAAGCAAAATAAAAGACACCTGTCATAAAAGATGAAAATGGATCTTCTAAATTGGGATTCTTCTACGATGGTCTAAATTGGGATTCATAACAAAAGATAATCAAGGAAGTAATTCATAATAGCAGGTAAGGTAAATATTGTCATTGTAGATTGAAAAAGCAAGAATGTGTTCATGACATTGACTGTATTTATGAAATTTGTAGCAACACTTTCCTGTGTGTCCAGAGTCTTCTGACAGACAGAAAAAAGTAAAAAAGATATGAAGAACTCTGGAGGTTGAATGAATACTAAATCATGTTGTATTCTGACTGTTGAGCTGTCAATAAATGACCAAAGAAATAAATCCATGCCTGTTTGCTGAGAAATTAACACAAATGTCCCGTACAGCAGTGGTCCCCAAACTCTTTAGCGACATGAACCAGTTGAGACAAGTACACGCTCTTCGTGGAGTGGCCGCCATTTTTGTCATTGCTTTTAAATTCCCAGTTTTAAAGTTTTAAAGCACTAGTACTGAGCTGAGTACTGAAGATAATTATATAGTCATGAAACACTTCTTTAACAATTAATTCAAAGGTCAAACTAACGTAAAATAATATTAAATAACACAAAGAAGTACTAATAAATGGACCAATCCGCAATCATATGATTTCTAAGTTTGTTCCTACATATGGTGTTAGCATCTTTGCTACATTCAAATGTTACTGATCGAAAGACTGATTGCTGCTTTCCGGGTTGGTAATTCTCGCTGTTACTCGGAGACAAGACATCACTCACAGTCACTTGAAGCGGTTTCAGCAGCCCGCGAGTGAACTTGATGATCAGCATGCATTTGGCCTCATTTCAGCTTGTGCAATCCCACCATCTATTGTTTTTTTCCAGTACTACAAAAGAGGTGGCTTTTACCGCGTTGCCAGTTCTGTTTCTTCGTCATGTCCCCAGTGTAATGTCTTCAGACACTTTTCATTTTACTTCAGTTTTTTTGTCGTCGGGCTAACTGAATATCTCTGTGTGTTTGCTGATTGTAAAAAGCGCAGTGAAGCGAGAGGCGGCCCAGCTCGCATTCTGCATCCACCAGCCTTCCATGCGATTGCGTCAGCCACACTGAAGGAGGCAGACGAGAGCACACAGGGTCACATTAGTGTACAGTACTTCTTCTTCTTCGCAGACACCAAGCTAGCTAGCCAAGACAGCTTGTTAGCTTGTTGGCCGCACATGACTTATTATTGACTGTAACAAAGTTACTCCAGCTTGTGTCTGTGGAACCAGCCTTCTAACAATTAAAAAGATTTAAAACATTTATGGCAATAGGATTGACGAAAGAAAACTTTCTTTAGTAGTGATAATCTCTTTTGAGATAGGAGGGACTTTTCTAGGAAAATAAAAGATTCTTTTCAGAGGGAAAGGCGAATGACAATGAAAGGTTTCAAATTTGACATATGACCTGAGTTCAGATCATGAAACAACTCATCCAAAATTCAAATGAAAAACTCAAATTTTGATTTAAATCTCTCTCTCTCGCTCTCTCTCTCTTTATATATATATATATATATATATACACACAGTGAACCCTCGCTACTTCGCGGTTCGTTTATCGCGGGTTCAGTGCATCGCGGATTTTTTCAAACATAAAATATATGTATATATTTTAATATACATGCAGTACAGTACTGTATATCTTGCTCTGTGTGACTCGCTGTTGTTTTGCAACTTCTCGCGGACCATTTGCGGACTTTAAAAAAAACCTGTTTATGTTAATTGGACGCTACTTCGCGGATTTTCGTTTATCGCGGGTGGTTTTGGTCCCCATTAACTGCGATAAACGAGGGATTTTTTTTTTTGTTGCTGTTGACATTCTGCATTTAAAACATTGGCACATTATTATGCAATAGTTCTGGGGGAAATATGAAGGTATAATTTGGTCAAATTGAACATTTGGGAGCAACAAGTGCACATATTAGCAATGAGTAGCCTTTTAAAATAAGCTCGGCTGTCGCAAGTGCTGCGAATGTTCCTTACAGTGAAATATTGTTGTGATTGTAGAGGTAAATTGTTCTGATTGTTCTGTTTTTGGCCAACAGGTGGCATTGGAGGGTTTCCCCTAAAGCAGGGGTGCCCACACTTTTTGGACCGAAGATCGACTTTTCGATCAACCAACCTCCCGGGATCGCCGCATTACCGCGCACGCACATACACTAGTACGCCATTTCTCCTCTACACCCCTTGGATCGACTCGGGACCAGTCCTCGACCTACCGGTCGATCGGGATCGACGTAATGGGCACCCCTGCCCTAAAGCGTCGCACATGTTGGTCATCATGTCATTAGTTCTTTTCTTTTAAAAGGAGTGCCTTGCCACCCACTTGAAATCAGATAGTTGTGTTCCTGTCTTGTTGTTTTGTTTCTGTCACACTTTTTTGTGTTTGTTTGTTATTTTAGTTTCTTGTGGTGTTCAGGACTTTCGTTTTTGATTGAAATTTTTTTTAAAGTGTGCGCTGGGGTGGTCCACATTTTCATGGCAAAAAAAAAATTTGTCGGATTCGTCGGGCCGGGTCGAAATTCTTGTCGATACTATGGTACAAGGTTCTGTGCAAAATTTCATTCCGATCTGATGATATTTTCCCGTCCCGCAAAGCGGCCAAAGTTTCCACCATAACAACTGGTCTCAATAGGGTGAACATGTGTATTTT